ACTTCAAAATTACAAATTCACCATAAACAATCACACTTGAAGCAATTAATTTGCAAAATTGTGAAATTTCAAGTTTATGTGAAAAAATGAGCTTACCAAATCAAGCACCAATTATGACTTCATAAACATGCTTAATAAGGTTTATAATTGCAGTAGATTAGTGATGCAACCATACATTTAATCTACCTTTAACATGCCATGATTAATCAAGGTTTAAAGATTTAAAATTTTTAGTCAAAAACGAAAAAACCCTTCAAAAAAACATGTTTCTGGGTGGATTTTGGCTTTTGGACAGGTCTTAAAAGGGACAAAAACGAGTTACAACATCGATTCCACCCAAAAATCACTATTTTTGAGTCGAAATCTGGGTTCGTTGGCCAAAATTAATATAAATACAAGATTAAAACTAATTAAAACGAGCTTCTAATCTAATTAGAAAGAAAAACCAAAATTTAAATCCATTTTAAATCACCTTAATTAATTATTAGTTACAACAATTAAAATGAACGCGGCTCTGATACCACTGTTGGGTTTCGTAGTGTCCGACACTACGCGGAAGAGAATTCCGCCAAGACCCGCCCACTAATTAAAGCACCTAAACATGCAATCACATAATTAAACAACAAGAGAGAGAAAGAGAAAAGACGATCTTACCCTCGAAGCGTGCTTCGCTCGATAACGAGCTCTTACTTGAAAGCTTAACCTCACAAGTGTGAAGGCCTTCGACGGCTCGCACCCTCGACCCGACCCAAGCGGTCTTTATCCCGAAGGTTAGTCGGGACTTGATCAAAGAAAAACTAGAGTATTACGAACTTAAAGGTTTTCTCACTTTCAAGGATATGCCTTATTGATTTCAACTCAATTGATTTTTTCAAAACTCAAAACTTGGGTATTTATAGGGAAAGGAGCCTTGATCTCCCTTCTCCCATCAATGTGGGAGAATTGCATTTTTCCTCAATTTATTTTAATCAAAAACAAAATAAAATGCAAAGCAATCAACAAGCTCCATGTGGCATATGGAGAGCATGGGTAGGTGAGGACCATTTAAGGGGGGGACCAAAACCCCTTGCTTCCCAAGCAAAGCATCATGATCGGTCTTCCCCTATGACCGTGAGCTGGCCCCTTTGCACAAGTAGCTGCCAGCCACCTTGGCTGCCAAGGCTGCCTAGCTGGCGCCTGGCACCTTGGCTGTGCTAGGAGCCCAGCTCGCACTCGCATGCGCGCAGCAAGCAAGCCACGCAATGCGGGTTGCTGCTACTGCTGCTTTGCGATGGCTAGCAATGCTCAGCTGCTGCTCGCTTGGTGCTGCTACGCTAGCAAGCACGCACAGCACACACTCACACAGCACGCTGCTAGCGATGCTTGTGTTGTGCGAGTGCAATGCTACTGCGATTCTGCGAGGGGGCTGGGTGCTTGGCCTAGCATGCTAGAAAGAATGCACAGCCACAGCACGCATACACACAGAACTATGCTTGCGATGCTTGCATGCTAAGCGTAGCCTAGCTGGGGCTATGTGTGTGACTGGCTGCGATGCCCACCACGCTAGCATGCATGCGGTTGGTGCCCTCGCCTAGCCTAGCACTCGCATGACTAGGCAGATGCAAGGCTACGGCTTGGCTCGTACTTGTCGCTTGCTTGATTCTACGTCTCGTCGAGTTCTAAATTCGACTTGACTTGCGACGCTAAGTTTTGACGCTCTAAGCTCGATATCCGACGTCTTTGTTCGTAATACTCTAATGACTCATCTAATCCTTCGGATTTATTCATCGTCTCAGATCGGTTATTCGATTGGGGTGCGACCCGAAGGGATCGGTTATTCCATGGTTGGTGAATTCACAAACATGGATGCACCCATTATTGCACAAAGCGTTTATTAGGGTGGACGGAGCGTAAAATCCCAATGGCTAAAACCATATGTAAAACACATACGGGTTCTAAAAAGTCAAAAAAACTCAATCAAAGAGTAAAATCGTCGAGACAGTACTAGAATCGGGCAAAACAAGAAGACAAAATTCTGGTGCAGTGTCGCCAGATCCTATCGCTGGACGGCAGGAACTATCGCACAATGATAGCTCCATCGTGGCGCGATGAAACTATCGTCTGGCGATGGTTTCTGACATCCTACGATGGTTCCGACGCGCTGTGGCAGTTTCTATGTTCGATATTTTTTTCAATTTTTTGTAGCGTCTATTCGCTTTTAGTTGTGAAAGATATTTCCAGCCTTTCCTACGTGTATATTCCTATGTTTTGACGCATTACGGATAATGTTTCCAATGCGAACCTTTTTATGCTTATGCCACAATGTTAACAAAAATTACGCACAACGAATATCTAGAATCATTCAAGTCTCATCCACTCATTCTAAATAAATTGCCAAAATAAATTTTAGGAATCAATCAAGAAATCCTCCTCAGCAAAGTCGCCAAAAACTATAGGAAATTTTTCAACTCATCATTGAGCCCTACTATGGTTCATGTTTTTAAGCATGGTGGCGTCCAAAGGAAAAGAAGCTAGAGATAAAAGAGTCGTCAACAAGTTTTAGAAACTTGTAAACCGTTCACGGGTGTGAAGGTTACACCCCATTCACAATCACAGAGATTGCTAACTCTATAGTGGTCCGAAACCATGACAGGATGTTCAGAGATGATGGTACGAATCCAACCTAAAAGAGATTGAACCCTTCCTAAATCGGCCTCTACTTAATTCTTATGATATTCATGTGCGCTTTTCGATCAACATACATACATCAAATTAATCCTAAGCATATTTAATCTATGTTGGTTGATTAATAATACATAATCAAATCTCTTATTGACGATCACTTAAATTAAAATCATATTAGCCTAAATTCAATCATTAATTATCTTATTAGGCGTGATTTCAAGTATAAATTCCCTTTTATCCTGCAAAAAGGGGAGTGATCAAGCAATAACGATAAATCATAAATAAACAAGTAACATATGATTAAAATAACAATCATCATAAGAACATCATCATACATTGTTAATAGTAAGATCTAAAGGCATAATACTAAACGAATTAATAACAAATCCTAACATGTCACAAGTAATGAAGATCAAATCGTTATCCTAAACATGATACTAAAAATCATAATAAGCATCCTAAACATGATACTAGAAATCATAAAGACATCCTAACATGATACTAGGAATTAAAATATACTTTAAGCATGATTTCTACATCAAAATCAAAGAATAATAATAAAAGAGATAATTGAATTACTCACTTTGATGCCTCACCTCTTGCTATTAAAACAATACACGCGTTAGTAAACTTCAAGAAAGTTAAATCAATAAAGTAAATAAATCAAATATAAATTAAAATATAGATTTGGGACCAAACCCTTAGAATTATCAACCTTTCACGTCGAGGTCGAAGGCAACATCGAGGATGGCTAGGGGTATTCAAGTCTCGTGAAGGAAGTATTGTGTTTGATTAGGGAGAGTATCAAGGATGTGTTTAGGCTAACGCTAAGGACATGGGGATCAAGAGAGAGGTGATGATTAATAAGATTAGAGAGGATTATTGATGATTGTTGGTGAAGAGAAAAGCTGGAAAACGACCTCTAATTATAAGAAAAAAAGAGAGTCGAAGCGATCTGAAAAGATCAGAATTCGAATCGGAATAGAATAGGTTCCATCGCGGGGCGACGGGTGTATCACGGCGCGATGGTCCTATCGTCCTGCTATGGTTTTCTAAAGATAAGAATCCGTGCGGAGTTTGATTTCCAATCGGATTGGGTCAATGAAATTTCCGTACATATTTTATTTTGACCGGGATTAGGATTATCAAAAAAGAGATTTTATGTTCGGCTTCGAATTCTCTTAATCTTTATTTTCTCGGAAAGGATAAATTAGAACCTTCTAGATAATTTTAGAAGCTCCCAATGAATCCTAATTGATTTAGGATTGGGATTAAGGTATTGGACCCTCACATGATCATTACGTCGTAGGTAAGGTGGACCTCGGTCTAGTTTGGACTCGGTTTAGTATTTTAGCCATAACTTATTCGTTTTAAGTTGGATTTGGGCTTATAATATATCGTTAGAAATATCTTTTCAAGCCCCATCCAACTAAATAATAATTGGACAAGGATTATGGACCAAAATAATCTGGTTTGGACGTTTCTATAAATTGGGTACGAAATGAATGATTTTGGGTTTAAAGGCACGAAATAAATGAATTTGGTTAAAAACATTTTAGGAAAGGTTAGGGGAAGGGTTAAGGTTTAGGGGAACTTCATGAAACTCTTCAACTCTTTACCGAATTCAATAATCAAAGACGTGAAAGGTACTCATCACTGGTTTTGGTTTTTGGGAAGACACAATCAGGTGTCCACAGGTAATAACGTTGGTGTTTTTGCAAAGCATAGGTTAAAATTCAAGCTATTTTGTTTGTATAAACAAACTACAATATAACTCTTTAATGTTGCATACATTATTGTGTAACTAACTAAAGGTTGTAAATTCATTATAAAATTTTGTCAAATCCATGCATTGCATGGAATTGAAGCTAGTAACAAATAAATATAGAAAGATTTCAACTTTTGATGATAAAATTAACTTTCTTGACATGCTCGTGGACAATGGATAAACTATTGATAAATTAGAGGTGGCAAACAAATTAAGTGATAACCAATCATTGTTGGTAGAGGTGATGAAGAATTTACGTTATGACATCACCTATATTTTACTTAGGAGTAGAGGATTCCCTTACCCTCTCCCTCTACTCTTAAACGTTGATCTATGTAGCTAGTTGGTCAAAGATGTTAGTTAAAAATTCAATAGAATATCTAACAGCTAAAAAAAAAAAAAAAAGAATAAAGCTGATTAGGTAAATATTATTCAATTTGAATAAATTAAGTTCAAATCAGTCCCATTCAAATGGCAAGTCATTAGATTCAATATATTGTCAATTTGCTTATCATTAAACATCAGTTCAAACCAGTCATTACTTTTTAGCTCAAGTTGGGCAATTCAATTCAACAGTGTTAATAATTCACTCCAATATCATACCAGCACAGCAAATGCAATTCTACCCTCCAGTACCCAAAATGAAATCAAACGGAATTACAAAGGTATAAATATGGACCAAATCAGCAACTTTACGGAACAAATAACACAAAACAAAACTCTCTAACGCAGCTCATGAATCTCTCAGCAGGGAATACAAATATAAGAGGAAAAAAACCCATTTGATAATGTTTCCCAATCGGTTGAAGTAGGAAACCAAGCTTCTGAACAGCCAACAAACTCGCAACACAGCAATAAACACACTATCCTACTATGCAATGGCCGTTAAATTTAAATCTATACAAATGGGAAAATATGAATAATCACATAATATAACCAACTCGGAATCCTAAAGAGAAGATGCTTCAGCTTTACAAACAGGGCAAGCATTTTTCCTCACAAGCCATTGCTTTATGCAATGCAAGTGATAAGCATGTCCACATTCCAGTTTCCCCATCTCTTCTTCCGCTTCATACTCTTCCTGCATAATTGAGAGCAAATACAACTTGCAACTTTAATTTCATGTGACTACCGCATTTAGGGTTTGTTCTTGATTTCCGTTATTTAATGACATGAATTGATGATATTAACATTATGTATTGGCAACTTCAAACTGACCTGACAAATGCTGCATTTTCCTTCTATGTCTGCTGATATGTGCGATTGTGATGGAAGTTCATGTAGGACAGAGAGCTTGGTTTTCCTGAGACATCTACCAATCTGATCATCTCCCAGTCCAGTACTCACATGCCCAATTCTATCACCAAGTTCAAGCAATTCCTGTTTGGACCATCAGAAAGAAATGTAGCAACATATAAGCAAAACTGAAAGCCACACTCGTGACTATATGTTAATTGAAAATGAAAAGCAATGACAAGATCACAAGGGAATGAGAAAAGATAGTCATACTTCATATGTCATATTATCAACATCTAGTCTCAAATCCCGGTATCTATCAGCACCACCTGATCTTCTGCCCGTCAACAGACCATTTTGAAACATTAAGATCTGTGTACACAACATACCCATAAGTTTGGTCAGATGTCACATTTTTTCAACATGATATTTTGAAACATAATTTACTTCAATTTCAATTGCTAACAAGTAGCACAGTAATAATTGGAGGATTCAGCAGTCAGTACAGAAACATCATAGGTGGTACAGAAACATCATTGAATGTATTGTAGGTACAATGTCAAATACAGGTCTGAGCCGCACCCGCAAACCAAGTGAGAGAGTCCACTTCATAAGTCCAAAGGAGGTTCCATCCCAAAACCATATGGCAATAGAAGGAGTAGCCCCAGCCTTATAAAGTGTTTAATTCTCTCTTCTTTTCTCAATGGGACACTTACATGTGTTCTTTTGGGAAGCTTATACTTCAACAGTAACCATAGTAGACTTTAGGTTGAATACTATTTGCATTAAATTTAAAAATAAAAAAAATAAAAAAAAGAAAACTAAGAGCTACATGTATGTTTTCTGGCTTTTGGAATTGCTGAGGTGAAAATAGATGAAGTGACCTCAGAGATTGAATCAAAAAAATCATTCTATGACATCAGGCATTTCCCATTCAAAGTACAACTCAAATATTATTTGATATGAAGTCTTTCAAAGCCAATGTATTACAGAATTACAAGATGAAGATCACCAACTTCTCCGTATGTTTAATATACTATTTTTTCTTCCTATAACAAGAAAGTAGATCTTATGGTTTATCAATCTCTTTCTAAGTTATTTTGTATCTAAAGCCAGGATCCAGAATAAGTTTACAGCAAGCTATTATTTATCATAGCACATCTCCAAAATCCTTATCAACAAGGCATAATTATAAAAACCTATCTAGCTAGCACTTCATCAAGTTGGAATGAGAACAAAGATGATTGTGTTCTAACAAAATGGTGGAGTGAAGACTAGCTTGAAATTTTGAGGGTTTTTCTTCAAATGACAAAACACCCAACAACTTTATAACTTTTCTGGGCCAATGCAATGTAGCTGACTCATTTAGTCTATTTTTTGACGACCATCGTGATTCAAGAGAGAGAGAGAGAGAGAGAGAGAAGCAAAGGATGGGGTATCTGGGACGACATTCTTTACACCCAATAATCATACAATATCGGAATTTGTTTAATCAAGTCAATAAAATGGGAATCCAAGGTTCCTTTCTCCATTTTCACCGTGTTGGTTTTGCTACTTCAATAATATCTTCAACTGTCTCAAAATAAATTTAAATAAATAAAGAGCTCCATTCAATCTTCTAGAAAATATAGATCACAGCCATGGGACTACTTATGTGAAGCAGGTAAAAAATCTATTAGAATCTATGCTGCTTTTTATTTTATTTTTCAAATTTTTTACAGTCACTTGCTTTTTTTTTTTTTTTTCCCCCTCTTTTTTTCCCTTTCTTCTAGGGGTTAACAGATATTACACATAAATAGAACACTTTGTAATTCCAATTTTGTTTTTAATAAATAGCCCTCATTTTTAGCTAGAACCTAAGCATAGATAATGGCCATAATGCATCCATAACTTTCTCATTCTTTTCACACATTATTGTAGCTTTTCAGGTAGCTAACCACAAAAGTCAAACTCTCAATATAGGTTATTAGAATATACTCCTATAAGAAGAGGAATGATTCTGTGACACTATAAACATCCAACTACATGAGGATATAATCAAGACATTGCCTAACAAATCATTATTTAATCCCTCGAGTGATGGTCTAAAGTAGCAACATAAATTCACGAGCAAGCTACTGAATGTAATTAATAGTTTTCCCAAGCAAAACAGAATCTTTAGAGGAATACAGAATTAAGGGCATTATGATGAAGATGTAGTTTTCAAGGTTGAGAACAAGAGAAAAGTCAAGCCCACTTCACCTGCTTTTATGCACTAATATCAGCGATTAGAATTGGCAAATTTAAAAGTTTAAATCTTTTGATATCTCATTTCTAAATCACAGGATATGTTTGATTTTTATGGTCAAATATTCTCAATTTTGATAATGGAAAAAGTTTAGAAAATGCTGTTTTTTCCAGAAAAACCACTCTTTCTTCTTGGGCTTAAAGATAAACAATTGGCTAAATACTTGGTCAGAGGCCCCATAAGCATAGGATAAAAAATCCCTTCAAAAGCAGATGTGGTTTAATTTTATTAAAACTTTGTGTGCTTTCTCAACAAAGTTTTAAGATAATTAGCCACATTTGATGAAAGTTGAAATTTGCTAGTATTATTGTTTCTTATCAAGTTATGTGAGTGTCGCGTTATAATATTATAATTAGATTTCTATATTTATCTTAGAAAGTACTTCAGCAGGATTATAACATTTACCACATAATATAGCGAAAGGAATGCATATGGTTAAAATTAATATAGGCTTATATTTTGTAGTTGTACCAAACAAATCCTGTGAAGGGGACTGTAGGGTTGGGGTCAACAATGATAACTGGGACGCCCTATAGTTTTATGTTTAAATAACAAGGCAGATCTTGGTGGATCATTACTTTACACCTAATATAGATTAATCTGAAATCTATATTTTTTTAATGAATAATAAATATCATATAAAAAACAGGACACTGATGTAATAATGAAATAGACGCCGCACATGAAATTATATTTCTGGTTTAGGGGACAAATCATACCTAAAAGCCTAAAACATCATCAAGTAAAAGTCACTTGACAAACAAATAAATTGGCACTTTCAAAAACAATTACTAAATTGCTAAGCAAAGTTTTGGCTTTCATAAAGGTTAACCTACAATGCAACTAGAGGTATTCGCCACAAGTAGATTTGATAAGTAAAGTCATATAAGCACCATATAAACAAACCTCAGCTAGCCCCTCGGGGGATCGATTACGCAAATGATGGTAGTACTGGGCTTCAAAAACATCCGGCCCGAAAGGGGGAATATCAAAGGCAGAATCCAGGCCCGGAGCAGCAAATTGCTCAGCATTCACTCTTTGTCTAGAATTATAGGAGGCTCTCTGCAAGTAGTCAAGTAGACAAATATACAACGAATTAACGACAGATTGTAGTCAAACACAGTCAAATGATACTGGCAAACGGATAGAAATCGAACCAAAAGACAGTAATACACAACTCAAGCGAACAACTGGCAATAAAAATTAAATAATTGTATAAATTAGGCCAAAACTCTCCTCAGTATCATTATTCCAGAATACCCTAAACTCGACTGACAATGTGATTGTATCATTAATTCGTAAATTAACACCATTTTATGAGTATCGTTGTATCAAACCAATTAATCTAATCAGTTATTCAGTTAAGACATATAGAAGAAGATTTAAGTTTGGCCATCCAATTTATATATGTTATTATAATCCCAACAAATTGATGGGAAAACTACATACTATCTTTGCATTATTGTAATCAGATAAAGGACAAAAATATAATCTACTGCATAAAAATATGCCTTCCGCCTTCCCAGACGAAAAGCAGCACTAATCTAAAGGTATAAAGTTCGAATCACAAATCATATATTTAAGAATTTATGCCCATAACTTCGTCTTCATTTATCCAAGAGATTAAAACAAATTATTACGCACAATAAGGTTTTAAATTAAATTTAGTACTCGTAAGTCTTAACAAATTCTTGATATTATTATATTTAATGCTGAATTCCTGTACTTTAAAATTTTATATCATCCGTCTCTACAATTTCTTCCTGTTTTAGAAATTGCCGTCCTAACAGAAAGAATTTATTCGAGATAAAGGAAAGTTTTTAATTTAACCCGGCTACATACGCCATCATCTTTCACGAATATCGGCTCAAATTTCTGGGTTTTAAAAAAAATATAGGAAAATTACTTAATTCAAAAAAATTCAACAAAAATTCTATTTAAAAAAAATTCAACAAAAATTGATGCTTAAAAATAGAAACCCAAGGCTCAAAATCTATCAAAATTTAGAATCAATATGCAGCAAGAAAAACCCAAAAAAAAAGGAAATAATAACCTCTCTACGTTGCAGTTTATCAAGATCAATTTTACCACGGTTGAAATTGGTAGAAAGAGGTCTAACACAATCAACAGAAGCAGCAGCAGAAGCATCTCCACACCATAAATCTTGAACACCAATTGGGTCTTCCATTAAAGCACCTTGCAATTGTTGAACATTCTTCTTCTTACCATTTTTTTTCTTCTTTTTCTTACTATTATTAATACTATTGCAATTGTTATTGTTGTTGTTGTTGTCACTCTTCTTCTGTCTGGTGGTTTCCCAATCAGCCGAGGACCTTATAACACCGGGGACGGTAACCTCGGGACGAGCCGCGCACCCGAAACCCCGTAAACTTCGTGTTTTGGGGGTGAATTTCGCGGTTTCATGGTTGGTTGAAAAAGTAGAGAGTAATAAGGAAGAAATGGAGGATTTGCAGCGAGTAGATTGGATAATTGAAGGCATTTGAGGGTTATTTGGATCTGATAAATGATGATTTCTGGGTTTACGGCATTTGAGATGGTCTGCAATTGTGGAGTTTGAGTGGTCTGATGAAATTGCAGCCATGAATGATGGTAATTTGCAAGTTCTGGAGAGAGAAAAAGAAAAGGGGGGGAGAGTAGTGTTGCTTTTTTTAGGGAGGAATGGAATATGGATGGATTGAGTGGGACGGAATTTAGGAGAAATTTTTTTAAAGAAGAAGTTGTACTTATGGTGTGTAATTAATTTTTGTTATTATATGTTATTCTTCCATGTTCTTGGTAATTAATTGAGTCCACCTTTTGTGTATATGGTATATCAATATACAGTACCAGACTACCAGTGTACCACTGTATTTGTATTTTGCTGGGAGGGACGGAGGGTCGGAGGAATATGTATATTGTTTTGTGTCTACATGTATATTGTGTTGTGTCTACCAAAGGTTGAATCTAATTCGAACTTGTGAAATTGTGTGTTATTGATCCGATTTGGCAAGAATTAAACCATTAAGACCCGTCATTTGAAAATAGAAATTTAACCCTAACTGATTATATTTTACTTGAAATAGAACAAATTGGATTTTTGTTGAACCATTTATGACTCACTCATACATGTAATCAATTCGAAACTTGATGTCTCGAAATCTCGAACCAAACTAAATATTTTCTACCACTTATGACCCACTATACATGTAATCAATTCGAAACTTGATGACTCGAAATCTCGAACCAAACTAAATATTTTCTAACCTATTTCGCCTGAAATCGTTTCAATCTAAAAACATCCCACTAAAATGGATTGTTTAAAACTGTGACTTGTTATACTTGAAATCGTTTAAAACTTGTGACACGGTCTATCCAAACCACTTCGTAGCCTATGCTACTATAGACGCCAAAATTGTGTCTTCCTAAATGGTGCTCAATGGTGAGAAGCAGTTGTCTTAATTGGTTGGGGATTAGGTGCAATAGATATGTTGATAATTGTTTTCCTTTCATTATCTTTTGAAATCCAAACACACTCTTCAAAATTCAAATATGCTCTTCAAAATTCAATTAAACCATATAAATCCCAACCATCATTTTTCAAGCTCAAAATTAAATTGTCCAATCATCTCAAAGCTCAAAAAAGCAAAGAATTCGGCTAAGTAGACCATGGACAGACAGATTAGGGTTACACCCCCAATCCTTAGACACACATACATACATACACACACACACAAAGGTAATTCGAAGGTGCTCCCTTAGGTTTAGAAAACCCTTTGCTAATAAAGGCGACTTCTCCATTTTCAATATTTATGATCATTCCTTTATTTAAATATTTTGACCAGGTAGTATGTCTCTCCAAATCGGTGAATCATTTTGCTTAAGAATAATGTTGTTTATAAAATTCTTCAATATAAGGTATTTTGTAGTTAATTGTAATCCCCCATATTTTTAAATAATTTATAATGAGATTTATTTTATTTATAATATTTATCTATATTTTTCCAGAATTTAATTTTAAAAGTTTCAAATTATTAATTTGGGTCAAAAAAAATTATTTTAGCACAATTTATTTTATGAACCTATATCCTACAATTCATGATCATAAAAACAAAGCCTAACCCATTTGTTTATTTAATTGGCCCATTATTTTCATGAGGTTCAATCTTCCTACTTACCCTACAACTCTCTCTTTCTCCTATAAATACCCCATAAATCCCCAAATTTTTCCCCCACACTAAAAGGTTAGTCTTTATTTATTTTCTCTTTATTTAACTTCTTTATTTTCTTTTTCCTTTATTTTTTTTTCCTTTCTTTCTTTTTCCTCCTCTTACGTGAGAAACTCACGTTGCTGCTGTTATGCCTTCCATGAGCTGTTGTCGGCGTGCCGCCCCTACTGGCCGTCGTCCCCTAGTCGCCGACAACCCACGTGGCCCAGCCAGACGGCCCACCGTCACCCTACCTCTCCTCTCTCTTGTTTTACTTATTTAATTTGTTCAATGTTTATGAAATTATTTTGGGTTTGATTTAATTTCTTGAAATTAGTTTATTTAGTATCAAAATTATGTTTTTGATGTTTTAAACCTATAATTTTAGATTATAATATTTGTTTTAATTTTCAGATTTTATGATTTCAAAACCTAGGGTTTTAATTTATTTAAATTGGGATTTTAGGGTTTTTATGAACACTTAAATTGGGGCTTTTGTTCCTATTGTATTTCTAATGATTAATTGAGCATAAAAACATGTTTTCAAGGAAGTTTTAATGAGTTTTAAATCAAGTTATATTGCTGAAAATTTGTTTGGGTATTAATTTATGATTGTTGGTTGTGTTTCTAGGAAGTGATTATTCCCTAGGAGACTTTTAATTGATTAAAAGTGGCACAAAGGATTGTTTATACGAGGTACGTACATGTCTACTTCGTTGTAAGTAATATCATGTTTAGGTACCAAAAGGAAAGAACTTAGTTTCATGTTTAGAGAACACTTGGATGGAAATTGTTTGGTTAAACATTGAATTAATTTATGTGCTTGTGTTTATGAGACATGTTTTGGTGAATTGATTATGTTTGTATGGAATTATGGATGCAAGCATGTTGAATTATATTGGATTAATTATTTGTATGAAATGTTGATACAAGCATAATTTTATTGGATTGGTTTATTAACCACATTCGGATTATTGAAGGATTGGAATTGAATGGTTTAAGTGAAATGAATTTATTAATTATTCCATGAGATTATTATTATTTTATTTATTACTCAATCATGACTTGTTAGTATGTTGAGTAATGGTGGATGTAACACCCCCAAATCTCCCACTACGTAAATACTATATTTATACCTATAAAATACCGTAGAGATAGACTTGGGCGTATTACCGCCACGTGAAAACGTAAGGCTTACTTAACTACTAAAAAATGGGAGCGGAAAATAACTGACTTTATTAACATTATAATAACCATAATATAGAGTTCGAAAATACTCCAAATAAAAAAAAACATGTCTGACTCATGAATGAGTAAACTAAATTCCTAACTAGGTGATCCCAATCCTGACTCAAGTATGTGCACGATCAACTCCACACCTGAAATCAAAACTGCTTATCAATAATGGTAAACAGGGCGAACCAAAATAAAAAGGAAAATGAATTAGCAAAAACGCTAAGTACATATAAGTGCAAGGCATGTAAATGCTTTTATTAGCCAAACATGCTTTCGAAATAATTATTGCAATTCAAACTTGCCAAAGGTCACTTTCCAAAGTTGTTAGACTTTCCAAATTTGAATCATCCAAAAGTAGTAACATCCATTAATAGAAACTTTCCAAACCAATAGATTTCCAATTTTAGACGAATTTCCAAAATCAATTTTCCTCACCTAAGTGTGCACACCCCCCAAGCAAGTTAAACTATACTTGAGGAAAGACTAGTTCATACAAAGCTCATGGTCTTACTTAACCAGTCTCGGGTAGAGGGACAATTAAAATAATAAATACTCAGGCCCATAATGAGTTACAAGTTTAAATTAATTCTTTTAATTCAATAGCTTGAAATCCGGTGATCCATAAACAACTTTTATTAAGTTAAACTACACTTTTAAAGATCAAACCTTTAAATCGTAAAATTTATATTTTAACTCAACATGAAAACCATTAACTTAAATCTTTCATACGCAACATTTATTCGAACAATCATTAAAATAAACCTTTACCAAAACATGCATTCAAACTTGTATCAAGGACCTAGCCACCTATACATACCTTGATCACAAGAGCAATTAAGATACGATCACTAAACTTGACCATGATCAAGGGACTCCTCCTACACAATTAAGATAACCTTAATTAATATAAGGTTAACAAAATAAACACAAAACTATAAATAATACCCTATTTGTACATGACTACCAAAATATTAACTTTTAGAATTTAAAACTTTCAACAATCTATGTTAGTAACATACTATATTATTAGTATCAAAATTTATATTATTGGTGTTTAAATTAAGTGGCATAATAATATTTTTTTGGTATCAAAATAATATAATAGTAATCATAACAATAATAGAAGAAAGAAGAGTTTTTTTATATATATATAAACATGCATGCATGCGGCAACATAAGGGAAGAAGGAAGTTGCGCATGCAACACCTAAGCAGCAGCAGCAACAGAAGGAGGGCAGCGTGGCGGCATCAAGTTGGTTGTCAGGGCGGCAGAGTGTGGTGGCAGTACAGCAGGTCCGAAGTTAGTAAGGGGTTGTGGTGTTTGTTTGAGCTAAAATAATGAAGGAATTCTAGAAAGAAAGAGAGGAAGAAGGAGAACGTGAGTTTAGGTAGTAGAGGGAGGAGATAATCTGATTTTTGATGTGGGTAAATGATAGGGATTAAGAGTCTATTTATAGTGTATAAAGTGTAGAAGGATAGAGCTTAAGGTATGATATGATTACTAGAAAATATGATAAGTTTTTGGGGTTGTTAAGGTACTTGAATCAAATTAAGTCTAGATTAATAGTTGGGTGTAAAAGATGAGTAGAAAGATTGGATAAAAGTTCATTTGATTAGAGGATTAGAAGGAAGGAGATAAGAATAAGAGTAAGCTAAGATAATGAAGAAAGTTTAATGGTTAAGTTAAGCTAAAATCACAAAATAATAATAACAAAATTTTTTTTCGGTCAGCTACTGTTTTTAAAAAGAATCTGAATTTTTTTTAAAAAAAAAAAATAAAAAATTCCTACGAAAATCATATTTTAATTTAATAAAATAATTAATTTTGGTAATTAGATCAAATTTATCATTGCAAAAGTAAATAAAAATACCTTAGATAATATCAAGGCCAAAAGTAGTTGTAAAACTATTGAAATTGTTAAGTATTAAAAATCCGGAAAATAATATGCACATAATAAAATATGGAACGTCTAATAAAAGATAATTAATTTAGAGATCCGAAAGTAATTTTTTTTTTTTGAAAGAAGATCCGAAAGTAATTAATTGTTCAAATAATTAGATATTCATTTTTGGCGCCGGAATTCAAAATTAATTTTGGCTCCTAATTCAAATAATCGAGTAAATTATTAAAATAATAAAGAAAATATTTTTTTCAAAAATTCGGGGTATTACAGTGGATTAAGCCGAAATGGCTAGGTGGGTTGACTATGTTCAACAATTTTGGATATCTTGGAAGTTTAATAGAATTAACGGCCATTTGTGATATGACCATCGTTGTCCTAAATAAGATTAAAAGTGAATTATATGTATGGTTATTATGTATGGTTTACTTGAATGAGTTGACTATTAATTAAACTTGTAATCACGTAAA